GTCATTGTGTACTCTTTAAATACAATTTTCATAGGTGAATTGATTGACACAGGATGTGTGTTGTAAATCTAGTTATGTTTGCTCCTGAACTCTCTTGTCCACTTTACATGAAGGAAATGGTGGCTATGGAATGCGATAAACAAATGGTCTCCACTTGTAGAGAAAAGGGTTACCCTTCTATCTCAGTATGTTTTAACACTTTTGTCATTCTATCTCCTTGGCAAGTCTAGGTTCTGACTTGAAGGAGCTAACCCTCTTGCTATTTTCTTTTGTTTTATTTGTTTCTCGTTGTTTTGTCTAGTAATTAAGAGTGTATGTATTTTCTACCATGAAATAGTAACTTAATTATGATTTCCATGGGATCATGAATATTTCAATCTAGTAATTTTAATAGAAATTATAGTAAAGATTTATTTTAGGAACCTCATGGTATTTAGTTGATATAACATGTAAATTACAGAGTGAATTGAAAGGGCCTAATATTTAACGCAATAGGAATTAAAAAAACAACAACAAGAATAGTATACATTTAATTTTTTTCCTTCTTGTTTGTCTTTTAAGCTTCCCAAGCCATTTACAATGGGTTATAGCACATTGTAATATACATAGAAACAGAATACTTAATGTTGACCAAAATCATTACAATATAAACAAGGCATGACTATCTTCTGTAAAAAGTTTACATTTAGAATATAAAATGTGTGTATACATTTTTTTTCATCTGCTTTAGGAGTGTTGTTTTTGGTAGTGGGTATTGTAGGAAAAAGGTTCAAGTATGAAGGGATCCAGATGGTGAATCACAATTATTTTAAAATATGGTGTAGTAAAAGAATGACCTTACACACTCATATAAATATTAGATAACACTAATTCAAGTATGAATACAACCATTTTTTATTCACAAACATTTTCTTAGATAAGATATAGAATCAATATTGAATAAGTGAATATAACACAGCATTTGCTAAGACTGATTGGAAGGTGTGAGTTCTAGAAGAATGAGCAGAGTTCAGAAATGAGCAGAGCTCTTATAGAGAATGAAAGTATTGGGAGAAGACAAGCTCTCCTGAGTGAGAATTAGATCAAACAAACAAACAAAACTAATCCAGGAATAACAAACAAGCAAAGTGCTGTGATGTTGAGGACTTGGGAATTAAAATCTTGACCCTGGGATCTAATCTGTTTTCAGATCAAATTATACATAGTGGTTTCTTGGGCATGTTATAGAAACTTTTGGACATAACTAAGGTTGTATAGATTAAACAAAGTATGTGCCAAATAAATGAGAGTTAAATAAGTTATTATGCCTTTAGTCAATTGGGAATGCAGCAAAGATTGTGCTGCCTAAAAAGATAGAACCTGCCCAGCTTGTGTGGTTAAGTGGTTAAACATAAACCCAGGAACCAAGAGATGGAGGTTCGATTCCTGGTAAAGGTACATGCCTGGGTTGCCCCCAGAAGGGGACATGCAGGAGGCAGCCAATCGATGATGTATCTCTCCTCAATGTTTTTTCCTCTCCCTTCCTCTCTCTCTAAAAATCAATTAAAAAGATAGAACCTGATTTTGATCCATTTATATAGTTTTTCATTCAACCAACATTTATTAGAAGGCAACTTTGAATTAGGCAATGTATTGTGTTGGATGTTAATTTCATACTGATGATCAAACCCCTGATTTTCCATACTATTTGCCACTTTTTTGGGTCTACTACTGAGAAACATTGCTTAAATATACTAACAATGAACTAGTCTCTAGGTACAGAACAGCAGGATGTCATTATGTAGGTGGTATGGACATCGAACAAAGATTTATAATGAGCGTTAGAAGACAGACATCTGTTACCGCCTAGCTGTCATCACCCAACTTCTCATCCTTATATCAGGGATGTTAATATTTGATCCTCCCTAGCATTACTCTTTGAGGTAACTGAGATTACCTTGTGAATATTTGTGAGCATCATTAGGAGTGCAATGCTATAGAAAAACAAGTTTCATTCCATTACTCACTCCAACATGTCCCATGAAATTTAAGAGTGAAATTATAATTCAAAGCAGTAGGATGTAGGATTTTGAGTCAGTGGACAAATCTGCACGGCAACTGTATTCTGTGTGGTATACTTAATATAAATTTTTATGAAACTCTTTGAATATTTGCCCCTCCCCCCCTTAAGGGGTTAGGTTAAATAGCCTGGATTATAAAACTGAAATTTTATAATAACAGCTGAAATTCTAGCTTTCCACTTTATTACACTAACATCTCACAGGGGATTCCAGAACAGTAGATGACTTTACATAATATGAATTCAAAACTCATCTGCATTATCCAGGTGCGTGCTATAGATTGGATCCTAGCAAACTCACGCTGCAGCCCTTATTTCTAGGACTGTAGTTATTTTGGTCCTAATTTCAAATGTAGAATGAGTTGCTAGTGAAAAATTGGATGATGGTTGTTGCACCTTGGAATGTTGAATATTGACTTTCCGAATAGAGAAGACACATTTTTGAATGGCTGGTTGGTGTATGGATCACAAAGTATGGGACTCCTGAAGTAGAGCTGGGGTAGTGCCACCTCGTCGAACAAATGAACAGTTCTGCGGCAAAGCAATAAATATTCATATTAAAGTGGAATAAATAGAAACTTTAAATGACCTCAAATCAGTTAATTTCCAGCTCTTCTGCCAAATGAACTTGAAGCCAAACTTTTTGTTTTCAGAGCTTTTTGGATTTTGAACTTGTGAATGTGAGGTTTTAGATTTTTATTAAAGCATAAATACTTCATAAATTAGGACAAAGTAAAAAATAGTCTATACGCAGAAGCAGTATATTTGGCATTTAAGAACCATACCCAGGTGGCATCGAATGCTTAGGTTCAAGCTTTTTGGTGAGGAATTTATTCCCTATGCCTCAAATGAGGATAATGATGGAACCCACCTCGTAGATTGTCATGAAGTATGATAAAATTTAAAAATAATTAGAGCAGTGCTATTTAAAGCTGTTTCATATAAGACAGAACTGTTTCATAATGTCTCCCATTTGTTTAAATTAAGATCAGAGAAGAACAGGTTTACAAAGAATTAAATTCAATTTACATAGAATTAAATTAAAGTTCTCTGAAAACGAAAGTTGTGGCTAGTTTCAATATTCATGCGTGCACTTTCAGTGACTAGATATCGAGTTTCTAGGTATTTTCTACCCTTACACTTTCCCTCTCAAATGGCTCAATCAGGAGAATGGACAAATGGAAACGAAGAAGCCAAGTTCATGGCAGTCTCCACTATTGCCACTGAAAAGAGGTTTAAATTATGGATCAAAATAGGATTCTAAAAGTGAAGGTATCTTCCTTATTTAAGGGAAAGTTGATAAATAATCTCCCTGGCAATGGATCTCTCTTAGGAACAAGATAATGATATTTTTAAAAAACAAAACTTCATGAGTCATGTGAGGTTGTGTTAGTGCAAGTCCGACAGCCCAAGAGTACCATCCTTGCCAAACTCCATAGGATAAAAATGCCTCCAGGTATAGTCTATAGTCTTCTCTTGGCTGGCATAGGTGTCTGTGGTGGGGCTGGGATGAGCTCTGCGTTCTCCTAAACCACTGCCTGCACTTCTGGGGAAAGTAAACTGGAGATTATTTTGGATGATGAAGCCGAGGAATTGTGGGTGCCTTTGTCATAAACTTCCTCTCAGATGTGGAACCCATCTGGCCCTAGAACACAGGTCTAGCAGCCTCCTCTCCCACAGTCATTCCTGGATGGTCATGACCCTCTTCTCTCTTCCTTAATCTTAACCCTTTTCTCGTTTCGGACCCCAAGTTTTTGATATATATATAGCAGTGTTGACATAATTTCAATTAAACCCCTAAATATATTTTTGTATCTTAATCCAAGAACTTGGTGAATTTATTTATACAACTTATACATTTTTTTATTTTCTTGGAACAAAAGTTAGCAATGAAACATATCATTGGAAAACTGTAAAAGTGAGACACCTCGCATACAGTGTTTTTCAGTGGGCTTTTTGTGATCCTGTTGTAAATCAGCCTACATAACTGAGTTTTTGAGAAACTTAGTAATACCGAGAAACCATCAAATGATATTGCATCGCAAAAAATGAACCCTTCGAATAGGTATTTTGTAAGAAAGTTTTTGGTACCCAGTACATATAGAGTGTATCAAATAATAAAGTATTTTACAAAGCCAAATTAATAATATGCTGGACACCTGCTCTGCTGAATTCTTCAACATCCCTTAAAATGCCCAAGAGGTAACGTTCTCTGACTTTATTTATTGGAAGATTGCTGAAAGGGGAAATATATTCCCTTCTCAATTCTGAAGAAGAGCAGAAAGAGGTCTTTGAGAGCTTGTATGCTGTACCCCAGGTACGGAGATTGTATTAAACAATCTATAAGAACTAATGAAAGTATATTAAAAAAACAACAAAACATTTCATTTGCTGAAAGGAGAATAAAAACTCTTTTGGGGAAGACATTTTAGATATAATCTTTATTCTGAAAATGAATTTGCTGTATGTAATTGATCTCTAAAATGTCATAAACACTGTCCTTATGTGCCTGCAATTTCTCAGTCTTTCTTCTTCTTCTCCTCCCTTGGCTGTGCTAAATCTCACCAACGACTTCACCTGGAACTCTGGAAATTTCTATAACGTATTCCTAATTCCTGTATGAACCCTCTGTGTTCTGGTACTGGATACATACTAGGAATAATTTTTCAACCTTCACTTTTAAGAAACATTTTGGGATAGCCTTTCCATTTAAGATCCAGGAATTTGTAATAAAACCACAGAGGCTATATTGCTTTTGAACCGAAGGTTGTTGGTTAGTGGAGTTTCCTTCAACTGGAAACACGTATGAGTCTGTGGTTTTAGTGTTTTCCCAGTTTTAGAATATCCTGCTTGTTTGTCTTAATTACAAAGCTGGAGAATTTATCATTGATTTTCATATTTTATAAAAAGCTCATTTTCTCTCTTCTTTTTTCTTTTCTAGTTGAAAGAGACAAGGATTTTTCTCACCAGCGAAGGCATTACAAAGAATTCCGGTTTGATCTTACTCAAATTCCTCATGGAGAAGCAGTTACAGCAGCTGAATTTCGAATATACAAGGACCGGAGCAACAATCGATTTGAAAATGAAACAATTAAGATTAGCATATATCAGATCATCAAGGAATATGCAAATAGGTATGGGCTTTATATCTAACTTGTTTTAGCAAACAAATATGAATTGTAGTAAAATCCATTGATAACCCATGTGATCTATCAAATCATGTTTTCTTTGGGTGTAATGGCATTGAACACGAGGTCCCAACATATCAAGATTAATTGATCTGAGATGTGTCTTCTACCTTCAGCTTTTCCCTACTCCTGGCACCAATCTCTGTGTGTCACATGGTCTTGTGCATCCCCACATGTGTTTTCGAGGCCTCTTGTGTCATTTTATAAATGAGAAAACTTCCATTTTATTCTGCACATGAATTCATAATATAATGATCTAAATCACTTGGTGTGTTTTTTAAATTAAAGAAGAGTGACTTTGGTTTTCTTTGGCAATAAGTGTAAATTGTATGTGTCCTTATGTGTATTTTTAAATTAAATTTATTGGGGTGTCATTAGCCAATAACATTATAGAAGTGTCAAGTATACAATTCTATAATACATTATCTGCATATTGCATCGTGTGGTTACCACCCAAAGTCAAATCTCTGTCTGTCATCATATATTTGACCCTTTTAATCCTTTGCTACCTTCTCCACAGCCCCCTTTCCCTATAGTAATACCATATTGTTGTCTGTGTTTCTGAGTTTTTGTTTGTTCATCTTATTTTCTCTTTTTTAAAAAAAAACATTTTACTTTTTAATTTTTTATTTTATTGATTTCAGAGAGTAAGGGAGAGGGAGAAAGAGATAGAAACATCAATGATGAGAGAGAATCATTGATCAGCTGCCTCCTGTGTGCCCCTCACTGGGAACTAAGCCCACAACAGGCATGTGCCCTCACCAAGAGTCAAACTGTGACCTCCTTGTTCATAGGTCAATGCTCAAGCACTGAGCAATGCTGGCTGGGCATGTCTTTTTTTTTTTTTTAAATTAATTGCTTTGGGTCAAAGAAGAAATAAAAGAAGAGATCAAAAGATACATAGAGACAAATAAGGATGACAATACAATATACCAAACTTTTGGGATGCAGCAGAAGCAGTAATAAGAAGAAAGCTTATATCATTACAGGTCTATCTCAAGTAGAACAAATGCAGCCCAGCATCAGTAGAAGGAAGAAAATAATAAAAATTAGAGCAGAATTAAATAAAACAGAGAACATAAAGACAATACAAAAAATAATGTAACAAAGAGCTGGTTCTTTGAAAAAATTAATAAAATTGACAAAGTTTTCCCTAGACTCACCAATGAAAAAAAGAGTAAAGACTCAAACAAACAAAATCAAAATAAAAGCAGAAAAGTTATGACTGACACCACAGAAATACAAAGGATTATACAAGAGTATTATGAAAGACTATATGCCACCATATTTAATAACCTCGAAGAAATGAACAAATTCTTAGAAAGATATAACCTTCCTAGATTGAATAACAAAGAACTGGAAAATCTATAGAACGTTATTTGCGTTTTGATGTAAGACATCGTATTTACAATAGGTCTTTGTCCACCTTTGTTGGACAGCTTTTACATTTTTTTTTAACTTATTGAAATGTTATATTGAGGTGAAATCCATTTCTGGTAGCTTCTATTCATTAGATATAGATCTTCCCTTTGGTGAAATACTATGTACTTTTTTTTAATAAGACAAAGATTTAAAGACAGGTATCATGTCTCCTTTAAGGCCCCTTTGTCTCCTTATTGAATACTAGAGGACTGGTGCACAGATTTGTGCACTGGTGGGGTCCCTTGGCCTGGCCTGTGGGGATCAGGCTGAAACTGGCTCTCTGACGTCACTGGAGGGCGCAGGCCAGGCTGAGGGATCCCACCTGCGCATGATCGGGGCCACGGAGGGACCACGGGAGGGCTCCAGGTCATGTCTGGCCTGACTTGCTGAGTCCCGATTGGCCAGACCCCAGCAGCAAGCTAACCTACCAGTCGGAGCATCTGCCCCTGGTGGTCAGTCCGCATCATAGCGACTGGTCGAACGGTTGAAGGAATGGTTGGATGCTTAGCATATTAGGCTTTTATTATATAGGATTTCCAATTCCTGACATTGAGATTTTTCTTGGTCTTCTGGAGTGCCAGAGTTTCCCAATGGCTGTTTCATGGAACACAAGCCTCTCACAAAAATCGGTGAATAAAAATAAAGAGTCTGAGATCAAATGCATTTGAGAAAAAACTGTTAGACCACCCTCTAGGAGTCACAATGCATATCAGAATTTTAAAGTCTTGGAAAGGCTTTATAATAAAGAAACCTAGTGTTGCTCAAAATTATTTGGCTGCAGAATCTTTTTCTTTGGGTGTGAAATACTTAATATCCTATGAAATATTGATTCAGCAGGGTACACTGTAATAAAAATGTGAAAAATATATTATGCAAAAAAATAACAAATACTGATCCATATGCAATGTTATTTTAAGAGCAATAATTCCAAGTCAGATATTTCTATGCTCCTTTATCTGTTTTAACACTTTCTAGATATTTTTCTGTGAGTTTTTTGTTGCTGTTTTTCTGTTTGTTTGTTTTTTAGACCTCAATCTAGTGGTTCCATTTATGAAATGAGGATACTAATTTGGTTTTCTCAGAGACAGGACCTGGCATATTATAATACATTATTTTTAATGCTAAATAATGATGGCATCTTCCAAAATAAAGTGACAAGTGTTGAAAACAATACTCCAAATATATTTCTTTGTCTGTTTCCCCACTTCAACTGTGAACTCCTAAAAAAGAGATAGTGTCATAGGTAATTTTGTTTTATTTATTTATTTTTATCCCAGCACTATATATTTATTTGGTGTGATTTAAAGTTTTGAAATAATTATTACCCATGACTGGAGTAGTACTTCCATTAACATTATTATAAAATTCTTGAATTATCTTTATTTTTGGTCATTCACATTATATTTTTATGCATGTTGAAATTGTACATGGTTAACATACAAAGTATTATTGGTTTTTTTATAAGAACTATTGGTACATCAGTTGTCTATCTACTATGGATTATATTTACTGACTTTTTAAATCTATATACAGGCTTTTACATTGATCACAATTAAAGGTCCTCACTTTTATTTAGGTCCATTGTTCTATCTTTACAGGATATTTTTTAATATTATCCATTGAACTAGCTAACCCTTTGAGCTTTTCTAAGTACGTAATTGTATAATTTAAGACATAACAATGATGAAAATAAGGACTAATAGAAGAATCTATTCACAGTTGTTTATAGATTTATTTCTGAATGAATCCATGCAGATTTTCATCAATAATACATTTTGGAATATTTACGGGTATTGATGCTTAGCTTATCAGACTTTTAGTTTTGGGAAATTAAGTTTCCCTTAAAAATGGGACAACTGTGTATCTTGAAACTTTGGTATTTCCCAATTATACCAATAAAAAATATTATTCTCATTTTTCTACAACTACACTGACATGCTTTTGTTTGCTTGTTTTATTTTGGTTTTGGTTCATCCTCACCTGAGGATACTTCCCCATTCATTTTGAGAGAAAGTGGAAGGGAAGGGGAGAGGCAGTGAGAGAGAAACATCAATGTGAGAGAGACACAGGAACTGGTTGCCTCCTACATGAGCCCCAATAGGGGGCCAGGGATCCCGCAACCGAGGTATGTATCCTTGTCTGTAATCGAACCCAGGACCCTTCAGTCCACGGGTCAAAGTTCTATCCACTGAGCCAAACCAGCTAGAGCTCAATATGCTTTTTTAGTATTGTGGGTATAATTTGGCTAAGTCTTGACATATTTTTTAAAGAAAATTTAAGTTAAATTTATTGGGGTAAAATTGGTTAGTAAGATCATATGGGTCTCAAATGTATATACAATGCAATATACAGATCATGTCTCATAGAAATGCACTCACATATTTTAGCATGTTTAAATCTACTCTAAGATCTAAGATTTTACTGATATTTTTTCTAAAATTTTTTCCTACATTTTTGAAAAATGACTTCTAAAGTACATGTATATCTTCATCTGGTGTTCTCTTGCTTTGCCATTCCAAATTCTAGGAGGCATCGATTGAATAGATTCTTTCCAATGTACAGAATATTATTTTGAAAAATTCCCAATATTACTATTTACAATTGCATAACTTGAGAACACATTTTAAACAGAAGATGAAAAAGTTACACTCAATTTCCTGGAAAATGGAAATGCTATACTTTATAAAGCAAGTAGAACTTATGTTTTAAAAATATTTAGTAATCTTGCCCTAGCTGGTTTGGCTCAGTGGATAGAGCGTTGGCCTGAGGACTGAAGGGTCCGGGTTCGATTTACAGACAAGGATACATACCTCGGTTGCGGGATCCCTGGCCCCCTATTGGGGCTCATGTAGGAGGCAACCAGTTCCTGTGTCTCTCTCACATTGATGTTTCTCTCTCACTTAAAAATAAATAAATAAAATAAAAATATTTAGTAATCTTGGAAAATGCTCAGACTGTAATGTTAATTGACCAAAAGCAAGAAACCTAATTATATACATTATTATATTAATTTTAAATAAATTAATGTAGAAAACAGATTGGAAGGAAAAATCAAGTGCTCATTGCAGGCTTGTGGGTAATTTTAAAATTTATTTTTCCCCCTTTTCTGTACTTTCTAAATTTTTACAATTAACATTATTTTTATAATCAGAAATATGCATAATTATAGTTCAGAGAAGAGATAATAAAACAACTTTATACCACACATTACTTTATACATTAACATTCCCAGGAAGAGAGGCTTAAAAATAAAAACAAAACAAACATCAGGATTTAAAAATAAATTGCTCTTGGTTTTTCATAAGCTATGAAAGGCATTTTTCCCCCCACAGAAAATGAAGAGAAATAAATACTGTTTTTCCTTTCTTTATTCTATGGAAAAACATTTCTACCTTGACTTCAATTTGCTGAAAGTGAGGAGAAATAGATGAAAAATACTTCATTTTTATATCATGTGATCACAGTTAAAACTGAAACATTTTATTCTTTAATCCTTCCTTTTGGTACACAGGATGATGCTCAAC